ACAAGGTGGAATTCAACCCTACACATGTTAGACCGCCTTTTACGAACAGCGAAAGGCCATCACCGATTTCCTGATGTTACAAGCGGATAAAGGTACTCCCCTGTGTAACTTCGATGTCAGCCATTGGCAGCTCATGCGTGACACCTGCCGCTTGCTCAGGCCCTTTGAGGAGGCCACGCTATTCGTGAGTCGGCAGGACTATGGGGATGAACGACGTCATTCCTCTGTTGCACGTCCTGGAACAAATGCTGTTAACAATGGCTGGTCAGGGTGCGGTAGACGTGGCGCACAGATCTCAACGCCACATGACCCCTGTGGGGGCAGGACAGGAAGAAGAGGAGGAGGTAGAGGAGGACATTTGTGCTCAGGAATTATTGAGTGAAATGGGTGGTTTTTCCACTCAGCGGACAGGAGTGGAGGAGCAGGAGCATCTGGTAGAGGAGGAGGAGGAGGAGACAGAGGACCCAGACGCACCGTGGCAGTATGCTGTGGAGATGGAGGCAGGGAGTCCCTCGCATTCCTTGGCACAAATGGCCCATGCATGCTGCTCGGTTGCTTGCGTAGCGACAGCCGAATAATAACCATCAGACAGAGGGATGACTTTTGGCTGTCCACCTTGTTGGACCCTCGCTACCGTTCAAAAATGGTGGCCTTTTTCACACCTGCTGAGAGGGAGGCCAAAATAACGTACTATAAAAACCACCTATGTAGTCAGTTGGTCTCTGCCTTTGTGCGCCAACGTCCATCCTCAGACACTGTGGGCCCTGTGCGCTCGCGTTCCGCTGCCATGGCAGCAGGGGAGGGGAGGGGTGGGGTGGTAGGAGCAGTGGCAGCTCCACCAGCAGCGGCTGCCTCAGTCTGCAGTCGATGATGAGTAGCTTTCTTCACCAGCGCAGTGAGGAAACTACTAACCAGCCAGCAGCAGCAGCAGCAGCATCAGGTGGACCTGGAGCAGGACCTCAAACAACAGGCTTGGGCCTACTTGGACAGCACCCTGCCAACCGAGGTAGACAATCCCCTTGACTACTGGGCAACGAAACTTGACCTTTGGCCCCAACTAGCTGAATTTGCCCTTGAAAGGCTGTCATGCCCGGCCAGTAGCGTGGCATCGGAGCGCGTGTTTAGTGCGGCAGGAGGTATTGTAACTCCGCGGAGGACACGACTGTCCACCCAAAGTGTGGAGAGACTCACGTTTGTGAAAATGAATCAGGCGTGGATTAGTCTGGATTTCAAACCACCAGTTCCTGACACAACTGACTAAATCCGCCATGAATCATGCCCCAAACATGTGCCACTTTCAGGTCTCCTCACACTGCTGGTGTGTTCATTTTTTGTCATAGGGTGCTGGCAGATTACGGGCCTCCCATAGCTGCTGCCAGGCCCCTAATCTGCCATGGGCCCCTGTACCGCCTCCTCATGCTGCTGCCAGGTCCAGAGTCTCTCATGGGTCCCTGTACGGCCTCCCATTGCTGCTGTCTCCATCGCCACACTCTGCCATGTGCCACTTTCAGGTCTCTCCTCACACTGCTGGTGTGTTCCATTTTTTGTCATAGGGTGCTGGCAGATTACGGGCCTCCCATAGCTGCTGCCAGGCCCCTAATCTGCCATGGGCCCCTGTACCGCCTCCTCATGCTGCTGCCAGGTCCAGAGTCTCTCATGGGTCCCTGTACGGCCTCCCATTGCTGCTGTCTCCATCGCCACACTCTGCCATGTGCCACTTTCAGGTCTCCTCACACTGCTGGTGTGTTCCATTTTTTGTCATAGGGTGCTGGCAGATTACGGGCCTCCCATAGCTGCTGCCAGGCCCCTAATCTGCCATGGGCCCCTGTACCGCCTCCTCATGCTGCTGCCAGGTCCAGAGTCTCTCATGGGTCCCTGTACGGCCTCCCATTGCTGCTGTCTCCATCGCCACACTCTGCCATGTGCCACTTTCAGGTCTCCTCACACTGCTGGTGTGTTCCATTTTTTGTCATAGGGTGCTGGCAGATTACGGGCCTCCCCCATAGCTGCTGCCAGGCCCCTAATCTGCCATGGGCCCCTGTACCGCCTCCTCATGCTGCTGCCAGGTCCAGAGTCTCTCATGGGTCCCTGTACGGCCTCCCATTGCTGCTGTCTCATCGCCACACTCTGCCATGTGCCACTTTCAGGTCTCCTCACACTGCTGGTGTGTTCCATTTTTTGTCATAGGGTGCTGGCAGATTACGGGCCTCCCATAGCTGCTGCCAGGCCCCTAATCTGCCATGGGCCCCTGTACCGCCTCCTCATGCTGCTGCCAGGTCCAGAGTGTCTCTGCCATGGTCCCTGTACGGCCTCCCATTGCTGCTGTCTCCATCGCCACACTCTGCCATGTGCCACTTTCAGGTCTCCTCACACTGCTGGTGTGTTCCATTTTTTGTCATAGGGTGCTGGCAGATTACGGGGCCTCCCATGCTGCTGCCAGGCCCCTAATCTGCCATGGGCCCCTGTACCGCCTCCTCATGCTGCTGCCAGGTCCAGAGTCTCTCATGGGTCCCTGTACGGCCTCCCATTGCTGCTGTCTCCATCGCCACACTCTGCCATGTGCCACTTTCAGGTCTCCTCACACTGCTGGTGTGTTCCATTTTTTGTCATAGGGTGCTGGCAGATTACGGGCCTCCCATAGCTGCTGCCAGGCCCTAATCTGCCATGGGCCCCTGTACCGCCTCCTCATGCTGCTGCCAGGTCCAGAGTCTCTCATGGGTCCCTGTACGGCCTCCCATTGCTGCTGTCTCCATCGCCACACTCTGCCATGTGCCACTTTCAGGTCTCCTCTCACACTGCTGGTGTGTTCCATTTTTTGTCATAGGGTGCTGGCAGATTACGGGCCTCCCATAGCTGCTGCCAGGCCCCTAATCTGCCATGGGCCCCTGTACCGCCTCCTCATGCTGCTGCCAGGTCCAGAGTCTCATGGGTCCCTGTACGGCCTCCCATTGTGCCACACTCTGCCATGTGCCACTTTCAGGTCTCCTCACACTGCTGGTGTGTTCCATTTTTTGTCATAGGGTGCTGGCAGATTACGGGCCTCCATAGCTGCTGCCAGGCCCCTAATCTGCCATGGGCCCCTATACCGCCTCCTCATGCTGCTGCCAGCTGCCCAGTCCTCAGTCTCTCATGGGTCCCTGTACGGGCCTCCCCTCCATTGCTGCTGTCTCCATCGCCCATCTGCCATGTGCCACTTTCAGGTCTCCTCCTCACACTGCTGGTGTGTTCCATTTTTTGTCATAGGGTGCTGGCAGATTACGGGCCTCCCATAGCTGCTGCCAGGCCCCTAATCTGCCATGGGCCCCTGTACGCCTCCTCATGCTGCTGCCAGGTCCACAGTGTCTCATGCCATGTGCCACTTTCAGTCTCTCCTCACACTGCTGGTGTGTTCCATTTTTTGTCATAGGGTGCTGGCAGATTACGGGCCTCCCATAGCTGCTGCCAGGCCCCTAATCTGCCATGGGCCCCTGTACCGCCTCCTCATGCTGCTGCCAGGTCCAGAGTCTCTCATGGGTCCCTGTACGGCCTCCCATTGCTGCTGTCTCCATCGCCACACTCTGCCATGTGCCACTTTCAGGTCTCCTCACACTGCTGGTGTGTTCCATTTTTTGTCATAGGGTGCTGGCAGATTACGGGCCTCCCATAGCTGCTGCCAGGCCCCTAATCTGCCATGGGCCCCTGTACCGCCTCCTCATGCTGCTGCCAGGTCCAGAGTCTCTCTCATGGGTCCCTGTACGGCCTCCCATTGTGCTGTCTCCATCGCCACACTCTGCCATGTGCCACTTTCAGGTCTCCTCACACTGCTGGTGTGTTCCATTTTTTGTCATAGGGTGCTGGCAGATTACGGGCCTCCCATAGCTGCTGCCAGGCCCCTAATCTGCCATGGGCCCCTGTACCGCCTCCTCATGCTGCTGCCAGGTCCAGAGTCTCTCATGGGTCCTGTACGGCCTCCCATTGCTGCTGTCTCCATCGCCACACTCTGCCATGTGCCACTTTCAGGTCTCCTCACACTGCTGGTGTGTTCCATTTTTTGTCATAGGGTGCTGGCAGATTACGGGCCTCCCATAGCTGCTGCCAGGGCCCTAATCTGCCATGGGCCCTATACCGCCTCCTCATGCTGCTGCCAGGTCCAGAGTCTCTCATGGGTCCCTGTACGGCCTCCCATTGCTGCTGTCTCCATCGCCACACTCTGCCATGTGCCACTTTCAGGTCTCCTCACACTGCTGGTGTGTTCCATTTTTTGTCATAGGGTGCTGGCAGATTACGGGCCTCCCATTGCTGCTGCCAGGCCCGTAATCTGCCATGGGCCCCCTACCGACTCCTCATGCTGCTGCCAGGTCCAGCTGTGCCGTTGCAACAAGGTGGAATCCCAACCCTCCATATTGCGCCCCTTTCCATCGAACAGCGAAAGGCCATCACACTTTCTGATGTCTCCTCACACTGCTGGTAAAGGTACTCCCTTTTTTGTCATAGGGTGCTGGCAGATTACGGGCCTCCCATAGCTGCTGCTGCCAGGCCCCTAATCTGCCATGGGCCCCTGTACCGCCTATTCATGCTGCTGCAGGACTATGGGATGAACGACGTCATTCCTCTGTTGCACGTCCTGGATTGCTGCTGTCTCCATCGCCACATGGCTGCCATGTGACGTGGCGCACAGATTCAGGTCTCCTCACACTGCTGGAGGAGGTGTTAGAGGAGGACATTTTTTTGTGAGTGAAATGGGTGTTTTTCCACTGGCAGATTACGGGCAGGAGCATCCCAGGAGCTGCTGAGACAGAGGACCCAGACGCACCGTGGCAGTATGCTGTGGGATAATCTGCCATGGGCCCCTGTACCGCCTCCTCATGGGAGTCCCTCGCCTCCTTGCTGCTGTCTCCACAAATGGCCCATGCCATGTGCCACTTTCAGGTCTCCTCACACTGCTGGTGTGTTAATTTTTTGTCATAGGGTGCTGGCAGATTACGGGCCTCCCATTGCTGCTGCCAGGCCCCTAATCTGCCATGGGCCCCTGTACCGCCTCCTCATGCTGCTGCCAGGTCCACAGTACTCTCATGGGTCCTATGTGCCTCCCATTGCTGCTGTCTCTCGCCACCTGCCATGTGCCACTTTCAGGTCTCCTCACACTGTGGTGTGTTCATTTTTTGTCATAGGGTGCTGGCAGATTACGGGCGCTCCCATGGCTGCTGCCAGGCCCTAATCTGCCAGTGGCAGCCCCAGCAGCCTGCCTCAGTCTGCAGTCGATGTTCTCATGAGTAGCTTTCTTCACCAGCGCAGTGTCTGAGGAAACTACTAACCAGCCGCAGCAGCAGCAGCATGTGGTGGACCTGGAGCAGGACCTCAAACAACAGGCTTGGGCCTACTTGGACAGCACCCTGCCAACCGAGGTAGACATCCCCTTGACTGCCTGGGGTACGGCCTCCCATTGCTTTGGCCCCACTCGCTGAACTCTGCCATGTGCCACTTTCAGGTCTCCTCCACTGCTGGTGTGTTCCGTTTTTTGTCATAGGGTGCTGGCAGATTACGGGCCTCCCATTGCTGCTGCCAGGCCCCAATCTGCCATGGGAGAGTACCGCCTCCTGAAAATGCTGCTGCCAGGTCCAGAGTTGTCATGGGTCCCTTTACGGCCTCCCATTGCTGCTGTCTGATGGGCCTAAATCGCCACATCTGCCCCCATGTGCCACTTTCAGGTCTCCTCACACTGCTGGTGTGTTCCATTTTTTGTCATAGGGTGCTGGCAGATTACGGGCCTCCCATAGCTGCTGCCAGGCCCCTAATCTGCCATGGGCCCCTGTACCGCCTCCTCATGCTGCTGCCAGGTCCAGAGTGTCTCATGGGTCCCTGTACGGCCTCCCATTGCTGCTGTCTCCATCGCCACACTCTGCCATGTGCCACTTTCAGGTCTCCTCCTCACACTGCTGGTGTGTTCCATTTTTTGTCATAGGGTGCTGGCAGATTACGGGCCTCCCATAGCTGCTGCCAGGCCCCTAATCTGCCATGGGCCCCTGTACCGCCTCCTCATGCTGCTGCCAGGTCCACAGTGTCTCCATGGGTGCCACTTTCAGGTCTCCTCCTCACTTGCTGCACTTTGTGTCTCCATTTTTTGTCACAGGGTGTGTTGCCATTTGTCATAGGGTGCTGGCAGATTACGGGCCTCCCATAGCTGCTGCCAGGCCCTAATCTGCCATGGGCCCCTGTACCGCCTCCCATGCTGCTGCCAGGTCCAGAGTGCTGGCAGGGTCCCTGTACGGCCTCCCATTGCTGCTGTCTCCATCGCCACACTTGCCATGTGCCACTTTCAGGTCTCCCACACACTGCTGGTGTGTTCCATTTTTTGTCATAGGGTGCTGGCAGATTACGGGCCTCCCATGCTGCTGCCAGGCCCCTAATCTGCATGGGCCCCCTGTACGGCCTCCATTGCTGCTGCTCCAGGTCCACAGTGTCTCATGCCATGCCATGTGCCACTTTCAGGTCTCCCTCACACTGCTGGTGTGTTCCATTTTTTGTCATAGGGTGCTGGCAGATTACGGGCCTCCCATTGCTGCTGCCAGGCCCGTAATCTGCCATGGGCCCCTGTACCGCCTCCTCATGCTGCTGCCAGGTCCAGAGTGTCTCATGGGTCCCTGTACGGCCTCCCATTGCTGCTGCCAGGAGGCAGCAGTTCCATGGTCGCAGCAGTGTCAGTGGGGCAAACGGCCACGGAGTGAGCACCATGTGCCACTTTCAGGTCTCCTCACACTGCTGGTGTGTGCCATTTTTTGTCATAGGGTGCTGGCAGCCATTACGGGCCTGTGCCATTCAGCTGCTGCCAGGCGGTGTAATTTCTGTCATGGGCCCCGAGGAAGTACCGCCTCCTCATGCTGCTGCCAGGTCCAGAGTCTCCAGGGGGCCCTGTTACGGCCTACAGCATTGCTCAGCATATGCTGCTGCCTTCTTGGTGGCCCAAACCTGCCTGTGTCCATTTTTCATAGGTCTCGGGCCTCACACTGCCTGGTGGGTTCCATTTTTTGTCATAGGTGTGCTGGCAGATTACGGGCCTCCCATTGCTGCTGCCAGGCCTTAATCTGCCATGGGCCCCTGTACCGCCTCCTCATGCTGCTGCCAGGTCCTCCCAGTGTCTCATGGGTCCCTGTACGCCTCCCATTGCTGCTGTCTCCATCGCCACACTCTGCCATGTGCCACTTTCAGGTCTCCTCACACTGCTGGTGTGTGTTCCATTTTTTGTCATAGGGTGCTGGCAGATTACGGGGGCCCCATTGCTGCTGCCAGGCCCGTAATCTGCCATGGGCCCCTGTACCGCCTCCTCATGCTGCTGCCAGGTCCAGAGTCTCTCATGGGTCCCTGTACGGCCTCCCATTGCTGCTGTCTCCATCGCCACACTCTGCCATGTGCCACTTTCAGGTCTCCTCACACACTGCTGGTGTGTTCCATTTTTTGTCATAGGGTGCTGGCAGATTACGGGCCTCCCATTGCTGCTGCCAGGCCCCTAATCTGCCATGGGCCCCCCTGTACCGCCTCCTCATGCTGCTGCCAGGTCCACAGTCTCTCATGGGTCCCTGTACGGCCTCCCATTGCTGCTGTCTCCATCGCCACACTCTGCCATGTGCCACTTTCAGGTCTCCTCACACTGCTGGTGTGTTCCATTTTTTGTCATAGGGTGCTGGCAGATTACGGGCCTCCCATAGCTGCTGCCAGGCCCCTAATCTGCCATGGGCCCCTGTACCGCCTCCTCATGCTGCTGCTGCCAGGTCCACATTGTGTCTCATGCCATGTGCCACTTTCAGGTCTCCTCACACTGCTGGTGTGTTCCATTTTTTGTCATAGGGTGCTGGCAGATTACGGGCCTCCCATTGCTGCTGCCAGGCCCGTAATCTGCCATGGGCCCCCGTACCGACTCCTCATGCTGCTGCCAGGCCCGTAATCTGTCATGGGCCCCTGTTGTCGTTGGCATATTCCGCTTGTTCAGATGCTCCTTCTCCTGCTACTTCTCTTCACGGATTCCGTCAGCAGTCTTTCTTGGAATCCGTTTCCAAGAGACAACAGTTTGCGAGCACGCACCCGACGGTGCAGAAGCTGAACGTCCTCCTGTCCAAGTTGCTGCTGCCAGGCTCGTAATCTGCCATGCGCCCCTGTACCGCCTCCTCATGCTGCTGCCAGGTCCAGAGTGTGTCATGGGCCCCCGTACCGACTCCTCATGCTGCTGCCAGGCCCGTAATCTGTCATGGGCCCCTGTACCGCCTCCTCATGCTGCTGCCAGGTCCAGAGTGTGTCATGGGTCCCTGTACGGCCTCCCATTGCTGCTGCCTGCCCGCCCATAATCTGCCATGGGCCCCCATACCAACTCCTCATGCTGCTGCCAGGCCCGTAATCTGTCATGGGCCCCTGTACCGCCTCCTCATGCCGCTGCCAGGTCCAGAGTGTGTCATGGGTCCCTGTACGGCCTCCCATTGCTGCTGTCTCCATCGCCACACTCTGCCATGTGCCACTTTCAGGTCTCCTCCACTGCTGGTGGTTTCCATTTTGTCATAGGGTGCTGTACGGCCTCCCATTGCTGCTGCCTCCACCGCCACACTGTGGCTCCACACTCTGGTTTTGGCCCCGTGACTGCCCAAATGAGTGAAGTGTGCGGTGATTCTAAGATCGACGGCACTCATCTGCATGTCATACTGACTGTCAGTATTATTTCTCTTCCCCAGCAGACTCCAAGGGCATTTAAATTAAAGGTACAGTGTTCTGCACTAATATAAAGGCTCTCTGAAGCCTAGAAACACCCTTTTATAAGTTAAATTCGCAGCGAATATATTCGACTCGAATCGAATTTTTTTCACGAATTTGCCGAATCAGTCGAATCGAATTTTTGAATACTTCGCTCATCTCTAATCTTGAACATTAGTGTTTCAAAGAATGTGATGCAAACTTTACAAAAAGACTTCCCATTTTCATGGAGGGAGAAAGAATTAGGTTACCTAGGCATAAAGTTAACTCCTTCTATAAATAATATACACCAGGTAAACTATATCCCATTAATAAATGAAAAAAAGATGAGCTGAGAAGACTCTGAGAAGACTCTAAAGGGGAAGGGTCTTTTGGATCAGGCGTATAAATTTGGTTAATTTGGTGATAGCCCCAAAAATCTTATATAAATTCCACATGCTCCCAGTCCATATCTCAGTATCCTTCTTTGGGATAATAAAAAACTAATACTTAAAAATATATAGGCTAATAAGAAACTGAAAATTAGGTATGACGTTCTGTGTAACAAGAAAGAAAAAGGAGGATTAAACCTGCCCAATTTTAAGAATTATTACACTGAGGTGATATTGTCACGAATTGTAGATTGGACATATACTTCACAAGGGAAGAGTTGGGTTGACATAGAATAGGATACCATGAAAGTCTTGCACTATGGATGGGGCTTATAGTAGTACATTGACAGAGAAGGTATTAAGAGTATGGGATAGATTGCACAAGCAAATGGATTGGAAGTACAAGTCACTGTTGATTCCCCTGGTGGGTACTGAGTTTTTCCTGCCAGGGAAAGATAACATTTCACGGAAATGGTTTAAAGATGTAGATGCACGTTTGGGGGATATAGTAGTTGAAGGGAAGTTGGCCACTTTTCAAGATTTAAAGAGTAAAAAAGAGTTATTTGTGTCATTAGATGAATTGAGATATCAATTAAGACATTTTGTTGCGAAGTTGCCCCAACCACTGAGGATGACGGAGGACATGCTCCCGTTTGAAAAGATGTTGGGTTCCAGTATGGTGCCAAAACATGTTACTTCTGGGATATATACGATTCTTGTTGAATTGGGGGGGGGGCAGGTCCTCTGCTGTTCTGAGAGAGATGGGAAAAGGAACTGGGAACAAAAATGAATGAATGTTTAAATTAACACATGGAGCGATTAACATGAACATGGTGGAAATTAATTATAAGTGTTTAACGGGGTGGTATTTGACACCGAGTGTTGCACATAAACAACAGTAGAAGTCTCACCATTATGTTGGAGGGGATGTGGAGTTAAGGGAACAATGGCACATAAATGGTGGGATTGTCTGAAAATACAGGGGTTTTGTCAAGATGTAAAACAGTTTATACAAGAAATATTGGAGACAACTATACAGAAGGATTTATGGGTGTGTTTGTTTTATAGGACAGAAGTACCAGTGAAGTAGTATAAAAGTAGTGCATTATACCATCTAATTAATGCGGCTAAAGGGCTTATTCCTAAACTTTGGCAGGTACAGGAGCCCCCAACAATGAGGGACTGGTTAGACAGGGTGAAATATATAAATAAGATGGAGGAGTTCCACCATATAGACCAAGGTAATATGGCTAAATTTAGAAAGAAATGGGGAAGATGGTCTGACTTCAATGCATCTGGAAAATATATGGAAGTAATGGGAGGACTGAGGAGAAAGATTACAGGTATAGAATGAAAAGTTGGAAAGAGAAGGGAAAAAACTATATGGACTGGGGTAAATTGTAAGGGGGTTTGGGTGAGTGGGGGGAGTGGGGAGCTTGGATTGCAAAACCTAGGGGAATTTTCGTATTTTGGTTGTAAATTGTACTTTTCTGTGTATTTGTAATGGAAAAAAAGTTTAATAAAAGACTTAAAAAAAAATACCACCAAAAGAGAGCTTTATTTGTTTGAAAACATTATATAACTTTCATGTGTGCACAGTGCTGCATGATAAAGCAATTACCAGTTAAAGTAGCACAGTGCTGAATAGCAAAAAATGAAGGGGGTAATAACTTCTGGAGGTGAAGTAATTAAAGCAGTAGTAAACTGCCCCCAAAAAAGTCCCCAGCAAAATAATAGCATAATGTGCTAGTATGCATCACAAAAAACTTACCTAGAACACCGTCACTGCTAACAGGGCTTCCATTTTCACCCAGTCTTCCTTTCGGGGTTTACAAGCTTTGGCCGCTTGATTGCTGATCTATGATGACCTCATTCCGCACAGGAGTCTCAACACGGCATCAGCTGCAGGGACACTGAATATATCCTAAACGGTGCAAGTTTAGAAGATATTCCTTGTTCCTACAGGTAAGCTTTATTATAAGCTTACCTGTGGGTACAAGTGTCCAGTGGGAGTTTACTCCTACTTTAAGGAATTTTTATGTCTTCTTTATTGTTTAGTTTTTAGCCCTGACGAAGGAGTGCTGAGCCTCTG